AAAAGAGTGTAGTCATTGAAGGAATCGAATCAGAGAATTGAATGATCACGGGAAGGAAAGTATGGCTAAATTATTGGCTTCAATGACTATGATATCAATTATGGATATTTGATTGATTTCCTTATTTGGAAGATAGTGACAACGGGTAGAATGATTAAGAACGAGTTCCAAAGTTCGAAAAAGAATCTAAGTCAATGAAATGAGATAGTTGTCCTTACCAGACGACAAAATAAAATATTTGTCTTTACTGGAAAAATAAACAGAAGATTTAATTAGCGCTGGTCTTAGGAACGAAACCTAATGAAACTAGAATGAAGTTTGATTGATGTCTAAGAGATTAATACTTAGAAATAAGATTAGGGTAGCATACTTATAGGAAAGCAACCTTACAGAAGGAGCGGGCTGCTCGGGACAGCGGGCTGGGAGCAGCAGCCTCACCAGCTAACTCAAGCAGCAGGCTCAAAAAGTTTGGACCGCGAGCTTAGCAATAGGCTAGACAGCGGGCTACCGGAAAAGCTAGCTAAAAGAGAAAACTCAAGGGAACTTTAACCATGATTTAAACACATATTTAAGAAGGATTTAGAGCTCTAAAACATAGGTTAAGTTGCAGCAAAAGGGTGAAGAGAAGACTTGAAGACAGCTCAATCATAACAAGAGAAATTCAAAGAATGAAAACTAGTGAGCTATTTTGAACGACTTATTGAGTGACAATTTAAGCAATATTAAGCCATGTTTAAATGTGATTTATTGAGCTGAAAATAAGGTGTTTTAAATCGTGAAAAAGGTTGTACAGAAGGCTTGAGTTTTAGCAAGATAAAGAGAAGTGAAACTAGTAAACTAGTAAGAGAACGATCTTGGAATTTGGAGAGGACTCTCCTATTTTGAAAAAGCACTCAGTTGGTTGGGAAAACTTAGGAATTTGAATCTGATGTGCAAAAGTAAAAATTTTATTTATTTATAAGGAAAATATTTGAAGTGATAAAAATGATTTTGAGAGTTGTTTAATATTTTTTTAACTCGGTGTTAAACCAAAAAACCATAAAGGCATTTGGGGTAGGGGCCGGGGAACACCCTACCTGTTTATTTGAGAAAAAGAAAGTACAATGGGTAGGAGGATCGAACCAAAGCCTACTCGGGAACAATTACATATGGGTAACTAATAGCATCAAATTTCAGGATACCAACGAACTGGTTATAGTGCTGCAAACTTATTCTAATGGAAATATTTTTAAGTGCTAGGTATTTTGCTGCCCGATTGATCCTAGGGTGAATGTGCGTGATTGTGTAGTTGTAGTTCTTGAGTCTTCTCTTTATTTCATGAATCCTTGGCCAGTATTTCCAGTGCTGACTTGCCATCCTTGTGATACCATCATAAATGTCCCTATTATCAACTTCAAGAACAAAATTAGTGAAATTATAATTCTTGATATTGAGAATAGCTTCAATGATATCATCATATGAAGCTGCATTAAGGTCATATTGTGCGTTAAGGTCATGTTGATTGGCATTGTAAATCATATGGCCTGCGCAGGTCCCCTGGTCATCGCGAATAAGCACATATGTTCTAAGAGTAGTAGGGGTCAAATGCCTTGTGGCTATGTTGATCTTGTGACGATTGGTGGGCGGCTTTCTCCAATAAGTGGGCACAAGGTTGGGAATAGTTTTCTTAGGCAAGGTAGTGATGATGGTAAAGGGAGTCTGGGGGTTGTTGGTGTGGAAAGGTTTTGCATTCGAACTGGCAAAGATATCAACCTTTATAGCACAGATTGCCTTAGGAAGGTTGGCCTTTTTATTATCATAGATGAGCCTATTACGAAACTTCCAGGGATTCCAGATGACAGTGTTTGGAATAACATGGTTAAGGTCCTCAACATTACCCTTGAAGTCCTCGTACCACCTCAAAATATAGTTATGTATAACATTAGTGTGTCTGGGAGTAAAGATAAAAATGGTTTCAAAGTGCTTCCAAACAGCTTTTGTGAAATTACAAACCAGGAAAAAATGATCAATGGTATCATTGAGAGTTGTTTAATACCCCGTATGCAACCCACATAATCTTGATGAAATGACTATTCTAACTATCAAGAATGACTATTTTTAGTGGATTGTTTTGAAGGAATTAACTTGCACCATCTCAACACACATGTTAGCTTCATTATTTGTAAACATAAAAAACCAAGAGTAGCACAAGTCGGCTAACTACTACTATATTATTATTATTATTGTTGTTGTTGTTGTTGTTATTGTTATTGTGATTGTTGTTGTTGTTGTTATTGTTATTGTTATTGTTATTGTTATTGTTATTGTTATTGTTATTGTTATTGTTATTGTTATTGTTATTGTTATTGTTATTGTTATTGTTATTGTTATTGTTATTGTTATTGTTATTGTTATTGTTATTGTTATTGTTATTGTTATTGTTATTGTTATTGTTATTGTTATTGTTATTGTTATTGTTATTGTTATTGTTATTGTTATTGTTATTGTTATTGTTATTGTTATTGTTATTGTTATTGTTATTGTTATTGTTATTGTTACTATCATGATCATGATCATCATCATCATCATCATTATCACCATTATTATTATATGTATTACATCTTCAGTTTATAACTAACTGTTTTATAGTTGGATTTCCAAATCAATCAGTTTCATAAGAGCGACCTTCCCTCTAGTAGGTTTTGAGATCTCCGTCGATATTGGTGCGGCTCCAACGATGGAGAGAGAAGAATTTTAGAATGGAGGCAGCGAGTAGTTTCTGCAAACGAGCTTGCCACGGCTGATACCGCAGAGGAGAGAGCAGGGGAAAAGCGGCGTCTCCTCAGTCTCAATCGGAAGGAATCACGACGAGGGCGAGGATCATCCAGAGGCTGTGAAGGCGGGATCAGTGGACAAGCTGACGGCGCAGTACGAAGGAATGGGGTTGGACAGTCCAGAAGATGAGCTACTACTGGATGAAGAGGATGAGGCGGAAGTCGATCCCGAGGCAAAGGGGGTGGAGACGTTCACGGTGGTTGGCACAATCCTCACAGACAAAACGGTAAAATTTCAATTTTTTCGTGACTTGATGGCATCCCTCTGGCGTCCTGGAAAAGGTGTTCTCATTCAGGAGATTGGAGAGAAGAGAAATCTATTTACTTTTTATCACCGAATTGATATGAATCGTGTGTTGGATAATGGACCCTGGTTGTTTGATCAAAATTTGCTAGTATTAAAAGCTATTAAACAGGGTGATATGCCTCAGAAGATCTCTCTAGATACGGCTGATTTTTTGCTTCGGGTCCATAATATCCCTTATGGTTTCTCTAATCTGGGGTATGCCCGTAAAATCGGGAACTACTTGGGGAAATTCATATCGTGGGATGATAAACAGTTTGATGAAAAGTGGGAAGCCTACATGAGGATCAGGGTTATGTTGGATGTGAGGAAACCTCTGAAGGTGGGTATACGACATTGAAAAAGAGCAAAGGGGAAGCCTATTGGGTAGGCTTTAAGTATGAGAAACTCCCTAGTTTTTGCTTTGCGTGCGGGGTCATAGGGCATGCTGAAAAATTCTGTCCATCACTGTATGACAAAGGTGATTCAGAGACGGTGAGTCATTTTGGCCCGTGGATGAGGGCGGGGGAGGGAATTCCGTCCGTCTATAGGAAATGAATGGCTTGTAGGTGAGAAAGGAATATGGAGAGACCACACAGGGTTGAAGATTTGTCCCATTGATAACCAGGGAGGACAATACCATGAGAGAAACCAGAATCAGAAGGATGGGAACGAATCAAAGACCGAGGAGATTACGGGCATTAGTAGTATGTCGGGTGAGCAGAAGAGGAGACGGACATGAGAAACACAAGATCAAGAGTTGGAGCAACCAGGAGGGGAATCCATGATCCTAGAGGAATCAAAAAACAGGGAGGAGGCAGGCTGGAATTCCCAGACCCGCCAAAATCGGTGAAGCTATGGATCACTTGGAGTTTTAAAGTTTCTATTGCTTTTAATTATGGTTATACTTTTATTGTTATTTGCGCCGGACATTGCGTGCTTTTGGTTGTTTTTGTTGTTTGTTTTATCAAGACTCTAGAACATAGGACAAGAGATGGAGAACTTAGTTTACTAGTCATTGACTCAAGTAAGTCCAATTCAGGATCAGCGAATCTGGTTGCTTCGTTAGAGGTGATAAGTTCTAAGTCTGGTTCAAGGGCAGACAACAGACAGTGGGTTCTTTGTCAGTTTGTATTCTGTTTGCGTTCTCTCTTATTAATATAAGTCACATGCTTCCAAAAAAAACTAACTGTTTTATGAAGTGTCACATATGAATAATGTCCCTATTTATGATATTTATCCTAAATATGGTATACAGTAATCAGTAAGTATTTATCACTATATTATTTTATTATTCTTAACATTTCTGTTGATAATATATATTTTTTCAATTACTTATCCCAATTCTAAATTTTGTGTAATAGATAAATCTATATTTGTCATATTTTAAACTCTAGAAAATCCATTGGTGTTGAAAATTAGAGAAGTATGATATTGATGTATGATACTCCCTCCGTCCCTTAAAACTTTGTCATCTTTCCTTTTTGGGACGTCCCAAAAAACTTTGACACTTTCTCTTTTAATCAATTATTTTGTGATTTATGTTATTTCTATCTTCTCTGCACAAACCTCAACTGCACACTTCTTATTTTATTATTCTCTGTGCCGGTCAATTTTGACATAGTTTTAAGGGATGGAGGTAGTAAGAAATTTACATATTTAAAAATAGCTCTAGGAATACCGATTGAAAAGAAAAAAAATCATAAGGCCTTTTTACGTCTGGATCTCGTCTATGTACACCTCAGCCGAATTTCAGAACATGGGTGAAGAGTTAAAAAAGATGTTTGAAAAAGAAATTGATTGTTGTAATTTTGAGCTGTCAATTGTCAAATCATCGTAACACACGCGCTTGAGGACTCGATTAGAGAACAGCAGCGACAAATTCTCTGAGTTTCAGTATCCAATTTCGCCACATGTTTCATTACATTCTGGGAAACGGAGACTCCTCTCCTGCTTTATCTTTACCCCTCTTCCTCCATGCTTTTCACACGCTCTACTTTTTCTTTCTCCCCACCTCTTCCTCCCCGCACTTCTTCTCTTCACCCTCCTTCGCCGAACCTCTCCCCGGTTGACTTCTCCCTTCGCCGTCGTTCCTTTTCCCGGCGATACTCCGCCATGCCTTCTGGCAACAGCTTCGTCACCCCTCCCTTCGAACTCACCACCGAGTTCGACTTTGATCGCATCGTCTCCTCCGATGGACTCGTCTCCATTTGCGGCTTCGGTTCCCTCCTCTCAGGTATCTGCATTTTTCGTCTTTGCTATTTGCAGCATCTCGAGAATTCTGATTTCGCAATTTAGTCTCCATTTGCTGCTTCGGTACAACTTGTTTATTTTGTTTGCGGAGCAGAGAGGAGTGCTCGGAGTACATTCCCCGGCCTGATAAGTTTCAGAGTGGCCAAATTGAGCGGATTCCGGAGGGTTTTTGCTCATGTAGCGCCTATTTTCTTCGAGCGTGGCATAGCTAAACCAGAAACCAAGGTACCTCTCGATTTGCTTATTTTTTGTAAACTGCTATTCTTTGAAATTGCTCTTCAAGTGGCTCTGAAGTGGTGGAAAGTAGTACCAAATGTTGATGAGATTGGATTGTATCCAGTACTAGCTAAAATATTATACTCAATCTGGTTTGACCCATGAGTCTTATGGCAACCCATATCTAAATTCGAATTATATCCCTATGATAGGGACGTATGTATGGCTATGTTACCATTGAAAACTCAAATTTATTAATGTGTGGAGCCTTGTGAATCTAATTATTGATTTAGAGGCTTCATTTTGTTTGTTCCTCGGAGTTATATTAGTATGAGTACCTGAATTCTGTTAAACATTCAGGAAATATCAAGCCTGAGTGTGGAGCCTTGTGAAGGTGAAACCCTTATAATTTCTGCTTTCGAAATTCCAAAGTGTGAGGTACAGAGGTTCATCGTTTTTCATCTTGGTTTTATTTGGGTTATGGACATTTAACCTCACTTCATGGCTCTTGCTTTACGAAACCAGATACCTGCATTCATTGAGAGGGAGCATGAATTTCGGTTTCTTGCTGTTAGTTTCTTTATCCTAATTTATCCTTTCTTCAAACGTGGCATACATTTAGCATTGATTTTGAGGAAACTAATTTGTTTTCTATTCATTCAGGTCACCCCTGAAACATTGAATGGATTATATTATACAAATCACGCAGTAAGTAAGATTGGAGCAAGTAGTCTGTCTTTTGTTCATCGAGTGGACCTAATACTCGTTCCTAATAAAATGTCTACCCTAATTTATTTCTGTAGGTACTGTGTGCACGTTATACGGATGAGGAGTATTTTAAGGAGAGATGTAAAGGTAGGTATACTCTTATAGTTGGTGACAGTGATGAATAATTAGGAAAGCTAAAAGTATCTCCTAAGCATTGGTTGAGAAGAAGAAGTTAAACTCAACTTCAGCTTTAAAACAGTGATAAAGACATGTTAGTGACCGTTTGGTGGCATTTTTTGCTTATCACCCAGTTTTTACCCAACTCAAATTCTTTGATTTGACGTGCTAAATTGGTTACAAATTAAAGAGGTAAGATTTGAGATACTTGTTTGACCGAATTGACTGATTTGGCTAAAGAGGAGCATTTTTAGTTTTATTAATAATTTTATCCCTTCACAATTCAGCACATGTTTTCCCATAACTTTAACAATTTCACGAACCAATTTTAGTGCTACCCAACGGGCTTATTTATTTTATCAGTGTTTTAACTTGTCATTTATACAAAAAGTTGATTAACAGTTACATTTCTTCTTCCTTCAGGAGATCGTGAGATATTGTTTAAGCGATACGGCCAATATAACATTGATAGGATCTGGCGAGATGATATTTTACCCTGCCGTGCTTATCTACGCCACTGGTGGGGGTTTCATAAATGTGTTAAAACCATTGATTAAATATTTAAACCAACAAAGGATTAGAAGTTCAGTTGCTCGTAGTTCGCCCTATGATTATTATCTTTTGAAAGAAAGAAAAGAAAAGATTATTATCTTGTTATATATATATATAGAGTCATTCTCCTGTCCAACAGGTTTTGGTCTGAACGTCGTCCGAACATCCCCGTTTGGGGCGGTTCCCTTTGGAATTTTTTGATGAAATTTTTATGATATGTTCTTCATCAAGTCTAGTTTATCCACAAAAAATTTCAGCTCAAAATTCGATTGGGAAGGCCGTCAAATAATTTTTGGAAGTTAACTGCGCAAAATTGTACATAGAAAAACGCAGTCAACTTCAAAAAATCATTTGAAGGCCTTCCGGATCGAATTTTGAGCTGAAATTTGGTATAGATAAACTAGACTTGATGAAGAACATACCATAAACATTTCATCAAAAAATTCCACCAGGAACCGCCCCGAACGGCGATGTTCGGACGGAACCTCAGGTCCAAACGTTCGGACCTGAGAATTCTCATATATATATATATATATATATGTGTGTGTGTGTGTGTGTGTGTGTGTGTGCAGTGCACAAGCTAAATATTTCGAACTTTTAATTGATGTAGTGTCCTGGCAGCGGAAAATCTCGGTGAGGTAGCATCCAATAGCTTTATGGATCATACATACCTTGGAGACCGGAAAACAACAATTCGTGAGTATCTAGCAACAACTGGTTCAGGCATCATGGAAGAGCAGCCGCCTGGCCCTCTAAAAGAGAGATATGGTGGTTGACACCATGGCTATTAAATAGTGCCTGATTGGTATGGGTAGTTGAATTTGCTTAACTTAGCTGTTTCCGTAAGGATATATGTTCGGTATTACTAATTTTAGCCAAATGAGTAACCCAAAAGCTATTCCGTTGATCAGAGTAAGCAGGATCAGGTTAACTAACAGGCTCATAGTATTTTTTGACTAGTGGTTCTTTTCTTTAAATCAGTTGTCTCATCGTTCATTGGTCATTGAGAGTCGATGAATGGGTAATATATGTTTCTTCTGAGTCTTCGTTTCAGCTAAGATGGATTTATTTATTTTTTCTTTCGATCTACTATATAGGGGTAACAAGTTGTAGACGTCATCTCCATATTCAGTTGTAGTTGTGACTTGTGAGATAATATTTTCAAAATTGGAGGTCGCTACACTTGAAGAAACTGCAATATGCAGGCTACTTGGTTAAATTTTGTTTAGTACATAATGGTCCATGTTGCTGCATATTTGTCATATTTTGGGCTCCTAGTGTAGAGTTCGAGTGCTGATAAATCTTGATTCTTCAAGTCAGTACTCAGTAGTATAAAAACACGAAACAAAAAATGTAATAAACGGCATTTTAAAAACATAGAACACGAATCTTGCAAAAGGCAGGCCACTGTAAACAACCTAGCCACCTAGGGATGTGTTTATAGTTTTTCATGAAAACACATACACGAGTACTTATTTTATGTAAGCTTTCATTACCAACCAAAGATGGAAATATCTACAACTTTACCCTCCACGTTTTCCTCCCACCCCTCTTCAATATCCCTATACTTTTCACTGTTTATATCTCTCACTCTATTTTATATCGTCTTCATCTTCTCAACCTCCTCTCTCTTTTTAATCTAAGTCGACATAAACCCTATTACAATATTATGAAGGGAAATTACCCAAAACAGGAGCAAATGACACTTGGAATTCCAAAAATAGGACTAATATATTTTTCTTCCCGAAATATGAGTTATTACTGTCATGTATGAAAAATACTGCCATGATTGAAAAATACTGTCATTAATTATAGTAAATATTGTCATGTTAAATGCACTGTACTGCAACTATTTGGCAGTCACGACTACCAGATCACAGTAAATACTGCCATGTTAGTTCCATTTCAGGAATAAAAACAAAGTAGTCCTATTTTGGAATTTCAAACTTCATTTACTCCTATTTTGGGAAGTCCCCCTATTATGAACTTGAGCCTACACCTCATTTACGGATGGACCTAGGCCAAGTTCGGTCTTGGTCCTTGGAAAAAATTTAGGAGATGAGACTGATCCGCTGTATTCCGGTTCTGGTCCGGCCCTCCTTTTCAAATCATTTCTTAAAAGTGTAAAAATGTAAAAAAAGAATATTTGAGTTATCTAAATTGAATTTAAAATATTTTGAGGAGGATATTATTGAGAACTGCGGACGGCTTGCAACCTCTCTAGGTTTGCGTAAGGTTTGCGGCAGCTTTGTTTGTCATCGGAAGAAGACCCACAAGAGGGTGGGGACGCTAGGGATTACGAAGCAGGCACCGACGACACAGGGGAAGGCAATCGGCGGCAAGGGAGTCACTACCAGACGAAAGTGGAGCTGTGCGGTGGTGCAGGAGCAGGCGGCATCGAGATACTTGACCAACCATGAGGAAGGTGGAAGGTTCAGGATTATAACAACTCAGAGCCTATGGCGGTGATCGTATACGGGCGAACCAGATTCCGGGATCGGGTGGAATGTCTTGCTTGATGTGGCATAGAGAATCTCAGATTCGGCTATATGAGGAAGAAGGCGAAGAGATGATGATCCGCCCCCTCCTGAACCGCCGCCAAATTGTGCGACTAGGGCTCGAAAGATTGTTTTACTATTTCCCCTTTTGTTATTTTCAGTCCAATCTGTTTTACAATTTCTGTTTTGTTGTTTTTATGATAAACAATAACGGGGTAGATTGGTATTTTGGGTTGTTTTAGCTGATAGATTTCTGTTTGGAGGCAATCAAGCTGACTCTGTCGCTAATAGCCTCTATGCAAGGGTATAAGGGTAAAAGACCTTTACTTAGTAACCGACTCACCCGTTTCCTCAAAATTTTCTAAGTCCACAACCTTCTGTGAGAATTGGAGAGGGTTTCTGTTGCTGAGGGGTTTTGGTAGGAACGGAGGTTCTCTATCAGAATTGGGGAACAGAAGGGGTTCTGCACTCGGGTTTCTGCAACAGAGATTTTGCAGCAGAGAGTCTTCCTTTCAACCGTCTCTAGGGATTTCATCCATCATTCCCAGTTCTTCTCTCAACTTGTTAAACCTTGCCTCAGGCAAAGACTTGGTCAGAATATCTGCAAGCTGGTCTTCTGTTTGCACATGCTCCATGCATATGTGCTTCTTTTCAACATGATCTCTGATGAAGTGATGTCTGATCTCAATGTGCTTTGTTCTGGAGTGAAGGACTGGATTCTGAGTGATTGCAATGGCACTAGTGTTGTCACGGAGAAGCTTGATCTCCTTTGCTTGAATTCCATAATCCTTTCAGTTGTTGCTTCATCCATAGTAACTTAGCACAACAAATCCCAGCTGCAATGTATTCAGCTTCAATTGTACTTGTTGAGATTGAGTTCTACTTCTTGCTAAACCAGGAGACAAGTCTCCCACCTAGCAATTGGAAGTGATCAAAGGTGCTCTTCCTGTCTTACCTGCAACCTGCAAAATCTCAGTCAGAGTAACCAATTAGTTCAAAGTTATCTCCCTTTGGATACCATAGGCCTGCATTTGGATTTCCTTTGATGTATCTGATAATTCTTTTTGCAACACTTAGTTGGCTTTCCTTGGGCTTTGATTGGTATCTGGCACAGATTCCAACAGAGAAGGATATATCTGGTCTGCTTGCAGTTAGATACAGAAGAGATCCAATAATTCCCATGTAGGTTGTTGCATCAACATCTTTTCCTTCATCATCTAGACCAATTCTCTGAGAAGTGTTCATGGGAATCTTCACTGAGGATTTTCCATCTATCCCAAACTTCTTGATCAGGTCTCTGGTGTACTTCCCTTTATTGATAAAGATTCCTTCTGGAACCTGTTTCACTTGAAGTCCTAGGAAGTAGCTCAGTTCTCCCATCATGCTCATTTCAAATTGACTCTGCATTACTTGAGAAAATTTCTTGCATAGTTCTGCATTAGTACTTCCAAATATAATATCATCAACATATATTTGTATTAACAGAATATGATTAGCAACAGAGATCTGAAATAGAGTTCTTGAGTTTTTGTAAAGAAGATTTTTATATGACCACCGCTCTCTTCCTCCTGGACCACTGCATGCACAACCAAGAAGCTTTTTTGAATTCTTGTAAAGAAGATTTTATTGAACTATAGAAGGAATTAATTTCTATTAGGGCTTCACTAATTTTAACCATCTAAATCTGAATCAACAACTTTTGCAACTTCAAATCTTACACAACGCCACAACAGTAATGAAGAAAACTCAATGAAAATAATTAAAAGAAAGAAACTACTTAAAACTCAATTAATGTAACCTGATGAGAGCACCAGACCTCCTCTAGTGTGGGTTTGAACATCATCTTTAGTGTGAAAGTACTATGATGTGCATTGAGTTCCTGTATAAAGTATCAAATACTTTTTTACTTTTAATGATGATATGGGAGCAAAGTTTACATTCTATTAATGGGGGGATTGAACTTCAACTACAAAAAGGTCAGAATAAAACAGTTGACAGTTGACACACATCAATGAAAACGACATTCCATAAAAATTTAAAAGAAAATATTTAAAATCCCCTTATTTCATTGTGAGTTCACTGCGTTCTATAATATTCACAACGCATTAAAACTACTATGTATCCAAAAACCATGGAATGTAATTCCAATGCGCATGAAAGAACCATTTTTTAACAAAGAAGCATCACACATAAATATATAGAGCGATGCACAACCATTAGAGAAATTCATTATATTGGCTTATCAGGCCCCATTAGAGAAATTCATTATATTGGCTTATTAGGCCCCAAAGCCCACGTCAAATGTGACCCCCTTTTCAGGACAAGTGCAATAATTCTCCGTATCTAAAAGATTATGTATAAGTAGTAGGCCTTTTTATTCCAATATTACTAAAATGAGTGAAAAAGACAAAAATGTGACTTGTTTTAAATTTTCCCCAAAAGTGACTAAAGTCATTTATTCCTTATATTTAGTCATAAATTTATTAATGTAATAATATTACTTTGCAGCCACAAGCAGCTCTGCAACCGCCGTCACCTTCACTGCCGCCGCCATCACCGCCGCAGCCGCCACCGCCACCGCCACCGCCACCGCCGCCACCGCCGTCAGTCACTATCTCAGTGACTCCGGTCATAGTGACTCCGGTCACATTGACTCCGACCTAAGTGTCTCCGGCCTCAGTGACTTCCGGCCACTGTGACTTCCGGGCACCGTGACTTCCGGGCACCGTGACTTCCGGCCACAGTGACTTCCGACCACCATGACTACCCGGCCCACCGACCCCAGTGACTGCCCGTCCACCGACCACAGTGGACGCCAGAAAGTTTTCTGTCGTCTCCCCACCAGCAACAACACTCTACCCATCCTCCTACCTAGCCAAAAATGCCACCGCCACCCTGCCCGTCCCCCAGCCACCGCAGCTGCAACGTCCACTGCCGCCGCAACGTCCACTGCTGCCACCCCTTCCCCGTCCACAACCCTAACTTGTATCCAACCCCCTCCCCTCACCACACCACAGGTACCGCCACTGCCCATCACACACCATCGTGACCCACCACCGTCGTGGCGTCGCCGCATCACCCCCAACCCCCTCCCTGATCTTCCCAATCCCATCATTGACCTTCCAAGCCCCCTCCCCAACCTTCCCAGCCCCCTGTGCCGCGACCCCAACCAGGCCGTCATCCAACGCCGCCCACAAGTACCTCAAACCTAACTGTAGCCACTGTAGCCCACCACCCAGATTCAACCGTAGAAAGAAGAAGAAGAAGGGGACCGCGACAGAGATGGAAAACGACGAGAGGCGAGAAGGAACTTCGTGACCTTTGTCAGATCTGGAAACGGTGGAGAGTGGAGAAGCTTCATCAGATCTAGGAGTGGAAAACGGCGATCTTCGGCAAGGCTTCGTCTGATCCGGGAGCGGAAGGCTTCGATTAAGTGCAAAGAGAAGTCTGAGGGCGGATGATTCGACGGAGCGGAAGTCTTCGACGGTCGATTTGTCCAGTGCAGAAGTCTTCGACGGAGCGCAGAGAGAAATAGAGGTCAGACCAGACGACGGAGGAACGGAGCGACGGAGCTGGGGAGCGGCAGAGACGAAGATGAAGGTGTTGCCATGGAATGGCGTTTGAAATCGCCGGATAGCGTTGAAGAAGGCTCTCGATGCAGGGAAGAAGGTCTCGATGAAGGTCTGGTGTGGGAAAGAAAATAACGGGAGAGTTACTTTTTGGGGAAAATCAAAATAGTCATATTTTTGGAATTGGAAACTTGAGCAGTATCATTGATGCCATTTTTTCTAAGTAGTAATGTTTAACTTTTTTTATTGTACTTACTCACATATTAAATGACAAACATCTCTAATTGAGATGAGTTTCAAACATGTCTCATCCTTAAAAATGTCAGACGTGTTGGAAAAATGTGTCAAAAATTGCATTAAATGGTGATTTTGGAGCAATTATTTGAGTGGGGTCCACTTCCGATTTGGGTTGGGTTAAAGTGGTTTCGGATTGTCCTTGTTAAGGGCTACAATTCGATATATGGTACACTCAAAACGGATAACGGGTGAATGAGAAATTGATTCTCGAAGTTCACTCGTTGAAATGGAAAAACTGGGAAAATGATGGGTTTCTAGTGTGTTTTATCCCACACCGAAAAACTCAAGGGATTTTCACCCCCTTATAAAAGGAAGTCTCTTTTAAGGAGTTAAGATTCCTAAGGGTAAAGGCTCTCTCTTACGCGCAGGGGGGGGGGGGTGCCGATCTCCTTTCTTGTTTTTCTCTAGTCATTTTATTTAATTAATTTATTTTAATTAATTTCTTTATTTTCCGAAACACACCCAACATTCTTAAAACGCATTTGGTGATTGTTCTACTGTGGTAAACAATCTTAAATCGTAGTTTGTCACTTTGGTGAACGAATTTATTTTTTGTGTTTTCGCAAAAACGTTAAAGAACGAAAATGACTTCTCAAGAAAACGAGATTGGTGTTGGGCAGAATGTTCTGAACGACAATCACTATGAAAGTGGAGCACCGATGAACAATGGATCACAACGCGGTGCATCTACTTTGGCCAACCAAAGGGCTATACCTATGGTGACCGTGCCAAGCAACTCTATGGAGAAACCCGAGAAATTCAATGGGTTAAACTTCAAGAGGTGACAGCAAAAGATGCTTTTCTATCTCACTACTCTCGGTCTGGCGAGGTTCTTGACCGAGGATGCGCCGGTAGCAACCGGGGGTGAGGTGGATGCGCAATCTTTCAACGCGGTTGAGGCATGAAAGCATTCGGACTTCCTTTGCTGAAACTATGTGTTGAACGGACTGCATGATGCTTTGTACGACGTATATAGCAAACTAGCTACGGCTAAGGAGCTATGGAATGCTTTGGACCACAAATATAAAAGCGAGGATGCCGGCGCAAAGAAATTTGTTGTTGGTCGATTCCTTGATTTTAAAATGGTGGATTCGAAGATGGTCTTGTGTCAAGTTGAGGAGATGCAAATGATCTTCAACGAAATTCGAGATGAAGGAATGACAGTTAGTGAGTCATTCCAAGTGGCGTCAATTATTCATGTATTGCCGCCGGCTTGGGAGGATTTCAAGAACTACCTTAAGCATAAGCGAAAGGAAATGAACTTGGAGCAATTGATCCTCCGTCTGCGGATTGAAGAGGATAACCGGAAGAACGATGGGAAATTCTCAATCGTTAACGGCGCCAAGACCAACGTGGTGGAGCATGCAAAAGGCTCCAAAAATAAAAATAATGGGAAGAGCAAGCTCGGTCCCAAGGGAGGCGTTTCCAAGACGAAGTTCAATGGAAAATGCTTCAATTGCAACGAGAATGGACACAAGTCCTCGGATCGCAAGGCACCACGGAAGAAGAAAGACTCCCAAGTCAATTTGGTGCAAGATGAGCAAAAGGATGAAGACGACATCCTAGCGGCTGTAGTTACGGAAGTCAACCTCGTTGGATCCAATTCCAAGGAGTGGTTTGTGAACACCGGTGCAACCCGACACATTTGTTCAAACCGGAATTTATTCACAACTTTTGAGCCATCAAATGGTGAGAAAGTGTGGATGGGTAACTCGGCTCATTCCGCGGTTGAAGGCGTGGACAAGGTGGTCCTGAAGATGACTTCGGGCAAAGAACTGACTCTCAACCAAGTGCTGTTCGTTCCGGAGATACGCAAAAATCTGATTTCCGGTTCGTTGTTGAACAAGCATGGCTTCCGCATGATCTTTGAGTCGGACAAATTAGTTTTGTCTAAATCGGGAATGTATATGGGCAAGGGATATACATGTGATGGGCTTTTCAAGCTCAATGTAATGACTATTATTAATAATAATAATAAAATCACTTCTGATTACTTGCTCGAGTCTTCTAATGTGTGGCATGGTAGACTAGGACATGTTAATTTTAATTCTATACGTAGATTAATTAACTTGGAACACATTCCTAAATTCACAATTGATGTGAAGCACAAATGTGGAGTTTGTGTAGAGGCAAAACTAACGAAAACGTCTTTCAAATCGGTTGAAAGAAAAACGGAACCACTTGAATTAATTCATAGTGACGTCTGTGATTTTAAATCAATACAAACATGTGGCGGTAATAAATATTTTATTACCTTTATCGATGATAGCACTCGCTATAGCTACGTTTATTTATTAAAAAATAAACACGAAGCAATCGATAAATTCATTCTTTATAGGAATGAAGTGGAAAACCAACTTAATCGACGGATTAAAGCTTTTAGAAGTGATCGAGGTGGTGAGTATGAAGCACCAATTGGTGACTTTTGCGTGAGCGTGGGTATAGTACATGAACGTACCGCACCCTATTCTCCTCAATCAAACGGTGTTACCGAACGAAAGAATCGCACATTGAAAGATATGATGAATGCGATGCTAGTAAGTTCGGGCCTGCCACAAAATATGTGGGGCGAAGCAGTCTTGACAAGCAATTACCTTTTAAATAAGGTTCCCCGGAAAAAATATGATAAAACTCCGTACGAGTTGTGGAAAGGCAGACGGCCTTCCTATCAATATTTAAAAGTGTGGGGGTGCCTCGCTAAGGTGCTTGTACCAACACCTAAGAAAATAAAAATAGGTCCAAAAACGGTGGATTGTATTTTTATTGGATATGCACAAAATAGTAGTGCTTATCGGTTTTTAGTGTACGATTCGAATAATCCGGATGTACATAAAAACACAATAATTGAATCAAGGAATGCTTCATTCTTTGAAGACGTATTTCCATGCAAGTCCAACGAAGGACCAAGCACGTCAAAACGAACATTTGACGTAGCTATGGAAAATATTAGCGAGGGGTCCGGAGAAGAACCCGAACCCAGACGTAGCAAACGTGCTAGAGTTGAAAAATCCTTCGGACCAGATTTTCTCACCTACCTGGTAGAATTTGACTCGGATATTCTAACATATATGGTAGAAAATGAACCGGATTTTCTAACATGTTTGGTAGAAAATGAACCACTGACTTATAAGGAAGCCGTGACGTCTACCGAAGGTCCTATGTGGAAAGAAGCCATCAAAAGTGAGGTGGATTCTATCCTTAAAAATCACACATGGGAATTGGTTGATCTTCCTCCGGGAAATAAACCTTTGGGATCCAAGTGGATTTTTAAACGGAAAATGAAACCTGACGGTTCCATCGATAAGTACAAGACCAGACTTGTAATCAACGGATACAAGCAACGTGAGGGCCATGATTACTTTGACACGTATTCTCCTGTGACGAGAATAAATTCCATTAGGATGATACTAGCAATTGCCGCATTGCGGAAATTGGAAGTTCATCAAATGGACGTAAAAACTGCTTTTCTAAATGGCGATATAGACGAAGAAATCTATATGGAACAGCCCGAAGGCTTTCGTGTTCCAGGCCAAGAAAGGAAGGTGTGTAAATTAATTAAATCATTGTACGGATTGAAACAAGCCCCTAAACAGTGGCACGAAAAGTTCGATCATGCAATGTTAATTAATGGGTTTAAAATAAACGCAAGTGACAAATGCGTCTATGTGAAGAGCACGGTAGACGGCTATGTCATTTTATGTTTATACGTGGATGATATACTCATCGTGGGTAGCAATAATCTAATGATTAATTCTACCAAAAGCATGTTAAATTCTAAATTTGACATGAAGGATATGGGGCTGGCCGATTTAATCCTTGGGATTAAAATAATTAGAGGACCTGACGGTCTTACACTAAGCCAATCCCATTACGTTGATAAAATCCTTACGAAATTTAATAAGGATGATTATCAAGAGGCAAGGACTCCATTAGATAAAAACGTACAACTTACCAAAAATTATGGAGAGTGTATTTCTCAAGTAGAATACGCTAGGATTATTGGAAGCTTGATGTATCTAATGAGTTATACCATGCCTGATATTGTCTTTGTGGTTAGTAAGCTAAGTAGATATACTAGCAACCCCGATGATGAACACTGGAAGGCAATAATAAGGGTTTTGAGGTATTTACGTAAAACCCAAAATCTTGGACTGCACTATGGAAGATATTCAGCTGTATTTGAAGGGTATAGCGATGCTAGTTGGATATCTGACATAAAGGACTCTAAGTCCACAAGTGGATATGTTTTCACTTTGGGAGGTGCAGCCGTGTCATGAAAATCCTCAAAATAAACGTTAATAGCTAGATCCACGATGGAGTCTGAGCTAATAGCCTTGGATAAGTGCACTGAAGAGGCTGAATGGCTTCGCCATTTTCTCGAGGATATTCCAAGTTGGGAAAAGCTTGTCCCTCCAATATGCATACATTGCGATTGTCAAGCGGCAATTGGAAGGGTACAGAGCAATATGTACAATGGTAAATCTAGACACGTTCGTCGTAGACATAACACCATTAAACAACTCCTCACAACAGGTGTTATCACTGTTGACTACGTGAAGTCAAAGGATAACATAGCGGATCCGCTAACCAAGGCATTGGATAGAGAATTGTTGGAGAAGTGGTCACGAGGAATGGGACTAAATCCCGTGAATTGAAAAGTTCTATAGTGGATACCCAACCTAGTTGGTCCTAGGTTCAAAAGGGACAACTAAATTATAGAGCGAAAGATGGTCACTGTGGGGGTCCCGGACTCCTACCCACTCCTTGTTAAAACAGTGACTCCCGCACGAGGTTAGCAAAAACGTTTGCTTTAATGATTCTAAAATGTTGATCTACTCGATAACATTGGAAGAGTATGTGGGATACTCGTGAAAGAATCACCTATGTGAGAGAGAAGAGGGCCACTTCAAAGGAGAATTGTAAAGGCTCAGTTCTTTAGAAACTCTTGCAGAACCAGGA